TTTAGAATGGGTTACATTGTTTTTTAGCAAGCTGCCTAGTTTATGGCTCTTTTTTATGGTTCTTCCTTACCTTGGCGTTTTAAAATAATTTTTAAATTTTAAATGCTTATTAACCCTATCTCCCTTTTCTTTCATTACAATTATTTATGGCATCACTGCTGTGACCCCAACAAATTAAATGCAGCTCTTTCTCTCTCTCTGTAAAGTCTTTTGTTGACCATGGCTCTTTGCCTTTGGTTTGTCTTCCCCGTGCATCATAGGGCTTATTTTTGCAAAAGTTGCCTTTGGCTATTTGCAAAGTTCGCAGCAAGTTGGGGGTGCAGTGAGCATCCGATCCCCAGTCACATCCACCATTAGCAGCTACTTTTCAATGTGGTTAGCTGGCAAACAAAGCGTTGCACATTTGCGCAGATAAAGTTCTGGCTCAATACGAGGAGGAAAAGGGGAAACTGTGGAAAATAGTTAAAAATATGTAAAAGTATTTCGAATTTTTCCTTTCTCCTATTTTTTTGCCTTATTTTATTTACCAAAAAGTTCGGATGAAATGCACAACAAAAGTTGCCCCTGGAAAACTCCCCACATAGTAAAAGTTAATTGCATGTGTATTTCTGTGAGTGTGAGTGTGTGTGTGTGGAAACTAACTTTTTAGGTAAGTTTAAAAAGCGGTAAGAGAGGGGGTAGTAGGAGGTACTCGGCAATAATTAAACACACATTTTATGCTGCTAATGAAACATTAGTTGTTTACATTTAATTTGCTATTTAGCACCCAAAAAGAGGACTCCGCCTGCATCAGTCGATGACGAAAAGAAAACTTCACCTGGCGTCCAGTTATTCAGGTTTTTGTGGAGCTTTTCTCAAAAGTACACAGGGGAAAAAACTTAATTGGTTTCATTGGAGGCCAAATTACAAATAAAGAATGAAATATAATAAAGTTAGCTAATTTCTTAAAAGTCTTCATAGTGTTTTGCTTAATAAATATAATTTTAAATATTTTTCAAATAAAAATAAAAATAAACCCTACATAGTTAGCAAGTAGTTTTAAAATTATTTTGGAATTAATATAATACTCACAAAAATTATAGAAACTCATATTTAATTTACAACCTACTTAATATTATAAATAGAACCAATATCTATAGAATTTTTACAACAAAATATTATTTAAATTAAACTCACCATCTTAAAGATAAATAATAAATTTTAAATAATCAATTTATTTTCTAGTTTCAACAAAATATCTACAGCCTAGAGCAACGATTATTATTATTTTTTGTTTGGCAATCAACTGCGCTTCATTGCCTTTGGCTGGCGTTCGGCCTTTTTGCCTTTGATTTGTTGATTTTCCAAAACGGGTGAAAAGAGAGATTTATGAACACACTAGAACTCAGGACTCAGGACTCGGACTCTGAATAAAGTTGCTTGTATTTGGGCCAACAAAAGCCGCTTATATATGCAAAATTTTCCAGCTTACACACGGAAAAGTTGCTTCGGCTACCAGCTTAGGTTTGTAATTTATTGGCTTGATAAAAACAAATGAAGAAATAACAAGAAATTCTACAATAAAACCAGGCAGCCAGCAAATATGCATTGTGCAAATTTGACTATGTGCAAAATCGTTGCAAAATTGAAATGGTTATAGGTAGATATTCATATGTATGTGGGGAAGAATATACTACAATGGTAGACAGCAAAATGTAAGCTTTAATTTTAACAATTAAAATGGTTAAAGTTAACTATTTAAAATTCAAGAGATTTTAATTCATATAAAAAAAGGGATTAATTTGTATTATTTAGAAGGGAAAAAACTGTTAAATAATACTCCCTAAAAATAGAAATAAAATTGATTAAAGTTGTATTAAAATTTAAGAGAATTTACTGCGATTCTTACTCTGAAATAATGCTTCCTTAAAAATATAGACATTAATTTAAATTTAAAAAAAAACCAAGGCTATAAATTATTCCATTAAAAACCTACCTTGATTACCATTATCTCAGCCTTAACTATATGTATCTTTTGCCAGCTTTTTCTTTCATTTGACACACTTTTCCCCCTTGGAAACTGTGAAATCTTTCATTTACTTTGATTTGCTGCCAATATCTCTCAATCATCTCAAGGCTGAAGGGGGTTGGGGGCAGGCGGCAGGGGTAACCTCAGCTCTGAGGTTTTGTAATTTATGAACTTCCGGCACTGCACAGTGACTCACATTTCGACATTGCACATTAGTTACCGTCCTTGGCAACATTTTTTGGCGAATTGCATGCAGCGATGCGTAAATTTCACTTATGAGCATGAGCATGTGTGCTGGCTGTGGTTTTCTGAGGCAGGAAGAAGGATATTTCCACCCAAAAAATATTAAAAACGGCAAATCAAAGTGCTACTCTATGCCTGCCTACATATTTTCGGGCAAATGTTTGCGGTTGGGAACGATCCTTTTGCCGGATTACTTTCATGTGGCTGCAGTATGTAACTCCTCCTCCTGCTGGTCCTTCTCAAATAAAATGGAAAGCCTGCTCACACACACCGTTTCAATATTACAGAAAATTTTAATGGATTTTCACATATTTTTTCAGGCAAAGCTATTATTTTTCACTATTTAGAGCTTACAAAAAACCGCGAGGCTAATTGAAACTGTCAAAAGTGACAGGTGGATTAGTAAATTAAATAATTCATAGAGCCAGCGGCAGAATCAATACAAAATTGATAGTAACTGGCAGACATGTGCTTTAATTTAAGGTATCTGTAATTATTTATAATAATACAATTACCATTAAATGGTTAATAAGGAAATAGAGAGCACTATACGTTTTTTTAGGGGTCAGCATTTAGCATTGCCCCGTGCAGAGTTTATGAATTTTCCAATAACAGAGTTATGAATTTGTTTGTTGCAACTTTTGGGGGGGGAAAACTTATCAAAAACTTTCACGTTCATCATTTGCAAATATTACGAGTTTCCATGCGAGACGCAAACACGCACTTTGGATTCGGAAAATAAGAAATTCTTTCCCTAGGAAGAGCGAGGGACAGGGCATTATATTTTTGATTGCGAGTGCGTGGCGCATATGACAAAGAGTCCTTGCCTTTGTTATATCCTTTGAGGATCCCCCCCGCTGACAGTTGCGAGAAATGCGTTGTGATTTCTGGCCATTACCATTACCCAAAGCAGCCACGCTTATCTTGGCCAGGATGCAAAGAGCCATGCCGAGATATGAGTCTCCTTCCACGAAGATAGGATATCTCATGACGACGACGACGACGGGCAACTTCCCCGGGATTGACAAAATAAATAAATATGAAAATTTACGGCACAACTTTGGTATATGTATATTTTTTTGTTGTTTTCCCCTTTCTGTGTGGCTTGTGGCTTTTAACTTTTGCCCACAGAATTTATTGAAAAATCGATTGCGGCATTAAATGCGCTGCTGCCGAACTGCTGCCTACTGTCGCCCCCTAAAATCCTTTCTGGCTTTTCGGCAAATCATCTCGGCTTGCAGCTGGAAAAGCTGGCGCGTGACTCTGTCGATGTTCGCTGGAAACTCCTGCTGGAAAATTTATGCAAAGCGCTGTCAGATACTTAAAGTAAAGCCAAAGCTGCTGCAAGTTTCCCGGGCGCTGCTCAGCTCCTTGAAAGTTGTTTGGTCGGCGGAGGTAAGGAATTGCGTTGTCCTGATGATGGGTAATAAAGGGATTTGCATAAAGTCAAGCTGGGAAATACACTGGAAAATGGGTTTATTTCTTCGAAATATTTGTTACTGAAGAAGGAAATTATTAGGCCACACATAAGACTCTATATTAGACAAGAATTTAAGCTGGGAAATTAATTTGTAAAAGTTTTGATGACAAATTAAGCTAGGAAATTAATTTTTAAAAGCCTTAAAGATGCATTTTAATTATAAATAATTTTTAAAATATTTATTAGTTCGTTAAGAATTCATAAAATAAATTAAATAGATTGTGGGAGTATTTACTTTGTTAAAATATAATTTCTCAATATCAAAAACCTCCCCAGGCATCCGCCTTAAGCCTTTCTAATTGACCTTAAATTGCATTTAATTTGTTTTCTCTCTATTTTATTACAAATTACCAAAGCCCCCAAAGCAGTTGGCAACAAACCAAACAAAAAGGCTAACAAACAATGTGCAAATTAGGCCACAAAAACACGCAAAGCGGCAAACAAACAAACACAGAGAAGAGGAGAAGGTGGTGACACAAAAAACGCTAAGCCGCAATTGGAATGAACGAAAAAAAAAACGAATTCAAATACGAACTGAAATCAAATCAAATAACGCGCTAATTCCCGGCAAAGCTGATTCCGCCGCAAATTTAGCCAAATTAAAATAATGGCAAGACATTTATATACAAAATCAAATTCCATTTCATTCCGATTGCCGATATCTAATTAAATCAGCAAAACCGCAAGAGCGAATGCAAACAAACAAGTGTGCAAACAACACTCCTCGTCGAGGAAATAACAATTAAAATAATTATATTTGCATTAGCTTACATTAAAATTAAAATAATCGCGGGGGAAGGGTGTATTTGTTTTTGGAATGGCTTATTCCGCCGACGCCATGTGTTTGCTTTAAGTTTTTTGGGGTTTTTCATCAGCTGCCACATACATAATTCAGCGCGTAAATCGCTTTGTTTCACCGCAGACGCACAAAGTTCTGAAAGCCTCTTAGCCTAGTGCCACGCCCACCTTAAGCCTGGGGCCTATCAGCGCCCACCTTACCTAACAGAACCCTTGCCTAGCCTTGCCCTTACCCCTGTGTAGCCTTGCCCTTCCTGGTTTTGTTAAAACTTTAAGTCAACTAAGCGGCTTACCTCGTACACACACGCATCGCATCGCATCGCTCATACGCCACGTGGCAGCAGGCATGGCATCGCTCATACGCCACGTGTGCAACCTTCCCCCTAGAAATTCCATCACCGACTTTTGCTTAAAACATACTCTTTATTTTTATACTTTCGGGATAATTTTCACTTAGCCTATGTACAGTTTAGTGTTTAGTGTTTAGTTGTTAGTTAGTGGTAGTCGTAGCTATAGTTACTCGTAATTTATGCACTCGCTTTGTATACACATTTATCAAAAATACAATAGTAATTATTTATGGTTATTCTGTACAGTTTTTTTTGAACGCCGCCCGAGAGAGTTGATTGCCAGCGTCGTTTAGTTTCCCCGGTTGATGCCTTCTCAATTATTTACAAGATGAAGCGCTCTCCTCCCTTACATGCTGTACTGATACCGCACATTGGAGGCCAACTACAAGAGGGGGTTTCTGCGGATTAGCTAGGGTACTTTTATTGGATTTTTGTGCTCACCTCAACGCCCACCAATCGCTCATCGTATTCGCTGCTCGCCTGCATCGCCAGCTTGGCCTGCGAGTGCATAATAGCATCGGAGAGCGAGTCCCGCTGATATGTTGAGGATCCCAGCATCCCGGGTACGCCGCCGGCGGATCCATTCGATGGTGCCTTCAGGCTAGAGGATTTGCTGCGGCAAAAGAACTCCACAATGGCCACGATAACCGATAGGAGGAGGCCCCCTATGAGTATGTAATAAATGCCGGCCACATTGCTTAGCGAGAGCTCGTTGGGCGTGCTGGTCTCCTGGCTGTCCAGGTTGGGGCACTCGGTCTTGTCGTACCACCACTTTTTCCAGATTCTCAAGAGTTCACCGTTTTCTTTCAGTGTCAACACGGCCTCATTTAGTCGCTTTCTGAGGGGTTAAATAAAATCATTTCAGGGGGTTAACTTAACTTAAAATATTAAAAACTTACCTCAAAGGAGACCCTATAGGAGTGGCCACACCAAAACCCTTGGTATCTATATTACGACCCACCTTCATGGTATCGCAGGGCGGCCTGGCATTCACATACTCATTCTTAGGGGACTCCACCAGCAGAGCATACTTTCCCTTGGAGGTTCTCACCCGGCGGATGCCCTCGTCGTAGCTGAGAACCGAGGAGCGTTGATTGGCATTCATGTACTCCCACATTTTGTTATGCAGACCGATTTGTGAGCGCTACAAAATTATAATTTTAAAGTAAAAATAATCTACAAATTATAATTCCTAGCTCACCTTGAAAAAGTTCCATGTGGAGCCATGCTTGAGCGTTCCGTAGTCCATATCCGTGTGCATGGCCAGATCCTCGGGCGTCTTGATGGGCGCCACCATGCGCTCCACTGTGAGAAAAGCCGCCAAATTGGCAGTGTAAGAGGATATAAGGATGATGGTGAAGAACCACCAAACGGCGGCGGCAATTCTTCCTGCTATGGAAGGTGGTGTAAGGTCACAACCCTGCTGCATAAAGGCGGCCAGGGAGTACCAAAAGGAGTTCAACAGACTAAACTCATTGGGCGGCACAGGAGGCTGATGGGATTGGGAATCGCTGAGGGTGGTGGTGGCCCCGCCAATAATACCCGGCGGTTGCTGGGCCGTGGCATCTGGCGGAGGTCTGCGCACAATTCTCCATTCATAGGGCGGAAAACGGGTCACAAAATACAAGACAATACTGACGCCCAAGTAGCTGAGGATTACACTTATCTGAAAATATATTTTTGGGGTATTTCTAAAATATTTTATTATATTTAGAACACCTACCCATATCTCTTGGGAAAGAGGATTGAGGAAGCTAAACACTCCTGGTGTCTGCTTAACAGGCTTCTTGATCATGATAGATATCCCCAGGGTCATAAAGGGCTTGCTGAAGTCAATCACTCGCTCACGTTCCGCTGTTATGGTCATGGGTGCTATGGATATGTCCGCCTCCTTGCGCAGCAGCTCACCCACCATGCCATCCCAGCCACCAGGAGCATACTGATTCTCTGCTCCATAGTTGCCATCTTGAGCCAAACGTATTTCATCTTTGGGAAAAGGGTTAGTTTTTGGGAAATATAAGAAAGGTTAAGATATATATAATTATATTTTAAATATTCTTAAACGGATTTCTTTTATAATTGAACTGAAACTGAACACTGAAACTCACATTTAATTCCCAGGTGGTTAGCCAGCATATCAGCCAAGTCCTTGCAGTAACCCTCAAACCTATCATTGCCCACCAGCTGCTCGCCATAGCTGGACTGCTTGTGCATCAGGTAAGGCTCCTCCAGGACACTGGTCACTATGTAGGTATGATTCCTAGCATAGTCCCCAGTGCTGGCGGAGGCAGATCTCGATGAGGTGGCATAGCTGCGACTGTGAATAGGCAGGAGACCCAAATCATCTCGCCACTCGGCCACCTGCTGCAAAGTGCTATTCACGGACATTTCCACCACATTCAGGGTATAGTTGATGCGTCTGCCGTCCTCGTCAAAGCGGATTTCACCCGACAAGCCCTCGATTTCCACCTGGCAAAACAATAAAAAGGATTTTCATATAACAAATGCTCTAAGAAACTTATAAAATAAATGTTAAAAAATATATTTATTATATTACTCTTTGATTTTTACCTTTCTCAAAACCCTGGATATCTTCTCGCCCTGCTCCCAGGGCGTGACCCAGCCCTTGCTAGTGTTGCAGTCCAGCAAGGCGCCACTGGACTCGTTGGTGGAGGAGGACGAAGACGATGAGGAGGAGGAGGAGGAGCCACCGTGGCTGCGTCGCTGCAGATGATTGGAACGGAACTGATCCGGCTTCTTGCGCAAAATACGATTGAAGGCCTCGACGAGCACGAAAACCGCATCGTACATCAGGGCAGCCTGAGCCTGCAAAAATCATGGAGGAGACGAGGCCATGGTTCGTGGCGAAACAAATCAATGGCAGAGGGGAGTGTGCGAGTGCAGGTCAATTTACCGAAATGGCCGGCAAGCCGTTGGCCTGAAACTGGGATTGGGAGGCGGATTGGCCCTGGCCCGTTGGCTCCAAGCGCTTCCGGCTGTCATGGAAATCACGCACTGCCCGCCGATTAGAGTCGACAATGCGAAAGCCGGTGATGTTGATGGCCCCAAACTCGACCACATCGCTGGGCCAATGGTTGTCCATGACCTAGACGAAAAAAAAGGGAATCGAAAATCGTTATGTAAACATGAGATAGTAAAGGATATAGACGGGGTAATACCTGGTATATTATTTCTATGATTTATTGAAATTATATATTTTCTAAATATTTTATGAATTTGTAAACCATTCCAATAAAAATTCGTTTATGTTCCTAGGAAAATTTATAATATTTCTGTAGTATTTTTAAAACCTTTACAACTCTCAGAGTATCGAATAAATTTTACATTTCCCAAGAACTGAAGCTTCTATGAATATTAAATCGATTTAGCAAGAGTAAAGCTCTTACAAAACATAAATCTAGACATAAATGCTGCTCCATAAAACCACAAATCTTTATAAAAACAAAATATAAGTAGCTACAACCCCCCAAAATTTTCACAGGCGTTGGAACCCCGCAACGGAAGCCCGGCAATAATTGCTTATTAAAGCCTCCCAGCGGGAAAGCATAGAGCACACTCCATGCCAGTACTTACCAGGCCACTGAGCAGGTAATGATAGGTGCGCCGGCCCAGCTTGATGTCCCGCACATGCTGGACGATGATCTCTTTGGCCATTTCCGCCGGGCAGTCGAGCACGATGCGCTTTTTGCTGAAGCGACCCAAATCCTCGAGCGTGTGCAAAAAGTCAATGGCCATTGTTACGTTGGCGATGCGCTTCACCATTTGCACACGGAATGTTTCATTTCCGGGCTTCAGTTCTTGATAAATTTGCTGCAGCCGTAGTAAGCCTGTTGGGGCAAGGAGAAGGAATAAGCTGTCAAGGATATCGTGGCGGAGGGGTTTCAGGGTGCTATTGTGTCGGTGTGGGGATTAAGGTGTTCGTGATGAAAAACAATCTGATAATGCAGCCAGTTTTATGATAATCCCTGCAATCTATAAACAATCTTCAAGTTGAATGAATTTACCCCTTGGGCATTGATTTATTTCGCCCAGGAAGCATGTGTCATTTAATCATATTCTTCATGCCAGAACTTCATCTTCCGCAAATCCCTCAGAAGCCGCAAGAGAGGCAAACAAAAAAATACATTTTCACACGCCATTTGTTGCACGTTCAATATGGCCCTCCATGTTGCCGTTGTCATTGATTTGCTGCCTGCATTGATTCGCTGGATTTTTCCCCGAAAAAAAAAAGGAAAACCAAGAACAACAGGAGCAAGGGAAAGCAGAGCCAAAGCAGAGGAAAATCAGCAGGAGCCGTTCGTAAACAGTCGCGTGAAAAAGCGGAAACGGAAGTGCACACACACACAATTGAAGTACTTTTTTGTGGTATGGCGGTCCTGGTAACATTTCAATAAATAGCAGCCCCGAAAAAAACCCAGCACTCCCAGCAGTGCGTCGGTGGCTGCTGTTTTATTGAATGTTTCCTATGTAGTCGAACTCTCGTTGGAGTATTCATGAATGCGCCAAAAAATATGCTACCAATTTGTCGCCGTGTGCAGCCTTTTTCAGGACTCTCAGCGGGCGTACACTGAGGTAAGAATGGAAAGTATGGGTTTGGATTGAGCTCAAAAATGGGTTGTAAATACAAAAAATTGTATTTTATGCTATAAATTATAATATTCATATTATTAAAATTAGTTTCCAATATTTAATATATATGTTAAAGCTTGGAAGAAGCATATACTATGTAAAAATGGTATTCATTTTTGTTAAAATTACTTTAATTAATAAAAAATAAAACATATTTTAAGATTGGCCTGTGACATATCCCCTTTAGTACTCCTCAATTTCATATTCAGTCTCAAAATATCAACAAGGAATCTATAATTTCTGTCTGTAACTTCTCTATAATTTCTCTACAATTTCTCTTTAATTTCTCTATAATTTCTCCCCCTGTACCAGAGTGATAACCAGGCACAAAAGCCAAAAAAGTAGGTAGAAAAGGGCCCTGGAAAGGGGGGCCGTAGAACAAAGCAATAACAACAAACTGCTGACAGCGGCATTAAAATATAAAGTCCCGCTGTGGTGCCTTTCGTTAACAATGTAAACGCCAGAGTCGAAGTCGGCCAAAAAATGCCTGTGAATCACCATCAGCACATCGCCATCGCCAAGTGGAAAGGAGTGAGAGTGGAGGAGCACAGAGGAGCAAGTGGGGCACAAGCTGCTGCTCCGACTGCTCCGACTGCTGCTGCTGCGGCATTTCCTTTTCCTGCAACCAATGCCAGCGGCAACAATGTCGGCCTACTTTTCGGCGCCGCGGCAAATATTAAAAAATGGCCCAAAAAAAGGAAAATAATAATAATGTTAAGGCTGGAGCCAGTAGTAGCAGCAGCAGCACTCGGAACTGAGAGCTCCCAGCCGAAGGCAGCAGTTGCATGAAGCCATAAATTTTATTTCACACAGAGTCATTAACACATGACACACACAAACACACACACACACATGGACTTATAGAGCATTCCAACGGCGTGTGAACTCATTATAGGGGAGACGGAGCAAAAGAGGGGGTAATACAGGCAAAGAAAATTATAATTAAAATTGATAGAAATATAAAATAAATAAATAGAATGTAATAAAAATTCATAGAAATTTATATATTATTTTTATAATTTTTTAAATATTTCTTAAATATAAATAAGGCCTCTAAGAATCAAAAAACATAACAAATCAATACCAATTTTAAATAAAAAATAAAAAATTTGTAACCTGCGTATACGTAATATTATTTTAACAAATTTGTAGCTCAAAAAATGATTAAACAAGCTTCTGAAATATTAAAATAAAATCGAAACCAGACTTCCTTAAATACTCCTCATTTTCCCCGTGTTTTTACCGTGTAACCAAGTAGGGAGGCAAAGAAAAATCAGAGCTGCGTATACGTAATATTATATGAAATTTTTACAGAGCTGAAAGGACTCTCATTCCCATACCAATTCACTGTAAATGTATGTGTGTGTGTGTGAGCCAGTGTCTTTTGGCTCCATCTGATGTCTTCATCTTTGGCCGTAATTGTTGCCGTCGTCGTATTGTGCCACGTAGACGGCAGGAAATTGCTTTGAAATAAATTTCAATACAACAAAAAGCAGCCTAAGACCCGCACATACACACACACATGCACAAATACATAAACAGAAGCCGACAAAGTGTATACACACACACACCCAAGCAGCTGGTAAAGCCCAACCATATGTGTACGCAGCCGAGGGTCCTGCGTGTGTGTCCTTCTCTTGGCTGCTTAAGCCCGTTGAGGAGCCACTCGAAAGAGCACACTTGGAAGCACTTGAGCGCGCTGTCTGCCTAGCAGCTCCTCCTTCCCTTCCTGCTTCTCTTTTTAGCTTTTTTTTAGCTCTTTGTGCCGCTTATTTAATTACATATTAGCAAAAATGAAAAGGCACGAGCCCACGAGGTCACGGGATTAAAAAATAAAGTGGCACAGAGGCTTATTAGGAGTACAGGCGAGTCTTCCTTACTCGAACCAACTGCTGGCCAATTAATTACATATAAATGTACACAAAAACATAAACACAGGTGTGACCCATAAAGCTGTCTGGGTTAGGGGTATACCTTTCCAGGCAAAGCTTTGTTTTGTTAAGGAAATGTGATGAAGCAGCATTATAATTGAAGATTTCAAAGAAGCTTTTCCTCATTAACATAAACTTCTCTAAGAAATAAAGACCATAAAATTAGTTTTAAGAGGCTTCAAAGCTTTGGAAACAAAGTTTGGCTAATAAAAAGCAAACAAAACTTTAAAGGAAGTCCGACTGTAGATGATTTTCACTCACAGAGCAACAGCAAATAGATTATTCCAAACAATGTTCAAACCTCCCCTGGATTGAAACACTTAATCCAAAGCAGAAACATTGCCATAACCGCCACTTAAATCCACTCGCCTGCCCGATTGACGCCTTATTTGTTTATGGCAAATGAAAGTCAAATGAAATGAAATCGAAACACAAAGCAGTCAAATGGGCAAACAAACAAGGGAGGAGATAATGTGGGGGAGGGACTGTGTCGGAGGGTTATATCTATATGTAGCAACTCACCATCGTGCGAGTCGTAGAGATAAATAATGCTCTGCCAGCCGTAGTACTGGATGGTATCGATAATCGCCTGATGATAATCCGGACGCATGCTGATAGCGAAATCCAGCAGTCCCGACGACGGGGTGAGCACCTAGAAGTATGCAAAGCAAAGGCCCCCATGAACTCTCTCGCTGGTAACAATGTAAATGTGCACGCTACATGAAGCAATAATAAAATGAAACGCGTTTCCGCTGGGCGCCCCCTCCCTCCCCACGAGAGATGTACATATACGTACGCCCCTGGGTGATCCAGAGGGGTCGGTCGGTCGGTCGGCAGTGTAAGGCGACGCCAACAAGCAGATACATCCAGAGAGATACACACAGATACCAGTTTCCGTTTAGCTCAACATACTCGGGCACGGTGAGAAATTGGGGGTGTTTAAAGTTTATATTTACTTATTTTTTATGGCAGAAATACCTGTTTGATTTAAGCTGGAAGGCTGAGAAACATTCTTATGATTAAACTAAATATGTTTAGAAATATTATTAAATTTTAAAACAATCTTAGGAGTCTAACAAAATTACTTAAAATATTTGGGAGATATTATTTACATAATTTTAAGCTTTTGTTGGATGTTAAAAATAATAATTTGAGACTTCAACATATTTGGGAATTACCAAAATTTGTTTTAAAATATTTATAAAGTATTAAAACAATCTTAGGAGCTTAACAAAAATACTTAAAATATCTGGCAGATATTACTACATTGATTTAAAGCTTTTTGGATTGTTGGAAATAATAAAAAATGAAACCTAGGGCTTGTTAGGTAATAAATAAATCTTTTAAAATTCTAATTTTTAACAAGTAATCTAAGCTTAAAAATACAACCATAATTTCCAGCTTAACAAAAACTATTACCCATATTTCTCACCATGCAAGAAGCACGCAAATGCGCACTCAATGTGTGCGGGGATCTGGGGGTGTAGGTGCCATCGCCTGTGTTTTGCCGCCCAGAGTCAGAGGCAGAGACAGAGGCAGCATCGGATGCCTGTGCCTGGGTGACTCTGCCTCCATATCTTGATTTATAGTGATTGAAATAAAAGAGGCCAAGAGCGTGTCATAAATTCGCTGGCTCTCTCTCCGTGTAGGAGTCGAGTCGAGTCGAGTCGCTCCCCCGTTTGGCATTGTCTTCCGCCGGCGCTCCGAGTTGGCTTTCTGTTTCGCAAAGTGACAACAAAAACGACAACAACAGCAGCAACAGCAGGAGCAGCGGTTCAGCCAACAACCAAACTGTTGTCGCACTGCCTGTCCCGTCCGCTTTGTTGCTGCTGGTAGTAAATTTTCTTCAAATTACAATTATTATGATTTGTGCCCGGGCTTTGATTTAGTGCACTGTCTAAGCAGAGTCCTCACCCGATTGGGCTCTGGGGGAGAACTGTGAACCCCAGGCTCCACTTTATGCAATGACTTCATTTTTACAAAAATTGACATTAACTGAAAGGAATTCTTAGGGGGTTCTCAGCTAATACGGATTGGTAATTGAAAACTCTGCCAAGTCAAGTGTAATAAAAGCTAAAGGGTTCAAGGAAAAATGAAGGGTTAAAACATATAAAATATTTTTACAATTCCTACGTGCTTGTTGCCTTATCAATCTAGTCTTTAATGTCGTGACTGGACTTTAAATGTTGTTTTGAGTACGTAGATATATTACATACTATGTTGCCAGGAAAGTATAATTCTCTAAATAAAATCTTAATATCTTGTAAGAAGACCGGAAATATTTATTTGAAAATTTTTTTCAAAAAAACAGAGTCTAAAAATTACATAACTTAAACAAAAATGCTTTAAATTCAATTCAGAAAGCTGTTTCTTATTAGTTTTAAGTAAGTTAACAAATCTGCATTATAATTTTCATTTTTTATGAAATACAAAATTTTGGCCATTTTTGAAAAATTTAACGATGTAACCCCTTATCAAATTTGAAAAATTTCAAAAAAAAAAATTTTTCTTCCGGTCATGGCTAGAAAGATTTGCCTTTTCATGCTGATCAAGAATATATATGGTTTATAAGGTCGGAAATGACTGATTCAATAATAATAACCTTAAAAAAGACCGGAAATATTTGAATTCTTTATGCATAATTTTATGGAATAATTAATTAATTAGGTTAGGAATTGCTTAAGTTGGCTAAAAATACATCAACATTAATTCAAAAAGCTGTTCTTAATACTAACATAATTTTAAACCTAATGAAAGCTTTAAAATCAACTTAGACTTTCTTTTTTTTATGCATATTGTTGGCGTTTTATTTTTAAATATTTTTTTATAGGCACTACTTACTTGTAAAATTCCCATTAATTTGATTTAAATATTTAACCCTCAATTACACCTACTTAAATAGCTCAAGTTTTAATGCCAACAGCAAACAAATGTTTGGTTTTTGACTTTAAAACCATTACTAAACCCTTTGTAAATAGCTAAATGTGTAACTTGTCCTTGTTTTTCAATGGAAGCTCTCATTTGCCAGGTCTTTATTATTTTTACACCCAACTCTCCGTTGGGCACATAATTAAATATTTGACTACCACCTACACCTCCCTCTCTGTTGCTAAAAACTTTCCCTTTGTTTCGCTACCCTTTGGGCCAACTTCATTAACGCATAACTGAGTTAACCACTCCATCAGTACCCTTATGGCAACCGCAGAGGGTAAATAACACGGAAATCAATTACATATGACATTTCTTTTTCACCTTTTGCAGGTAGATGAGGAGGAGGACACTTACCTTCTCGGGGAACCAGGGCGTCACAAATGGCATTTGGAACGTATTCGAGTAGGAGTGCAATGTGTCAAAGGAGTCCGGCGACACGGCGCCCAGCATCGAGTAGACTCCGCGCGAGAATTGATTGCAAACTGGAGGTTACAGTAATAAATTCGTTTTTGTATTCTCTGCTCTCTTTCTCTTTTTCTTTTCAGCTCGAGGGGTGGGTGGGTTGTGGGTGGGGAAAAATGGAAAATGCATGGCGGAGACAGTGTCTAGGTCGGGGAGCAGAGAGTGTGGCGCACAATTAAATTGCAGCTTTGAGTGTGGAGTAGAGCGGACGTGAAGTAAAACCAATTTTCAATAAAAAATGCACATAATTAATGGGGGAACCGTGTCTGGTGTAATGGGGTTTTTTAGGGATTTCCTGGTACTGATAACAACACATACTCAGGCGGGATAATTTGAATGCATCCGCCGTATTGATGACATCGACGTACGCCTGCAGCTCGAAGCGCCGGGAGCTCACATTCAGGTTGTGATTGAGCATTGCATATTTAAAGGCTGATTGCACGTCGTCCGTTCCCTGCTCGAAGATTGCACCTGCAAGCGAGACAGAAAGAGAGAGAGAGAGGAGGGTTAAGAGGGGTTTTTAGGGGGTTAGCTAGGGCGAATATTTTTGCTTCGTTAAATATTTAGGCGGCTTTTGACACGGTCCTGTTAATATTAAACGAAAAAGGGCACAGTGCAAATATGTACACAAATGATAGCATAATGTCACGCCCACACGGCCACCTGGGCCACTGTCCCAGCACACACAGACATAAACAAGGCACTGGGAGAAAAAGTGGATAGATTTATGAATTTAGAGAATTAATTAAAAAGGTTTTAAAGAGAAAGAGCTCAAGATATACGGCAGCTTCTTATAAAATAAACTTAAATAATATAAAAAAAATAGAAAATCTTATAAAATATATAAATTATAATTTAAATATAATATTAAAATATATTTTAAATAATTTAAAATATATTAATATACATTTTATTTACCAGAAAATGTGTCACATATCTTAAATTCTTTAAATAACTAAATCATAACTGTTAGTTAATATACTACATTTTTTCTCAGTGCCCTCACCCACACCCACACACACACACACACACACCATCCTAGACAGGCCGCCCTCCGACAAGCAACAACAAAAAGCGCAAACGAAGTGTTGATGCAGCAATTTTGTGCTGCGCTTTTGCATGGCACCTGAACAGGTAGCACAGGTAACACCATCGCCAGTCACCATGGCGTTGCCTGGATTTGAGTGCAAGCCAGTCAGCATGACTGTCACATTAGCAGCCACCAAGCAGATATATATATAAGTGCATATAGTACGCTCCCTACCTGTGTGCAGGGAGCCAAAATGACTGCAGGTGCAATGACTGAAGCGCCATCGTGCAATAAAAATAAGGCAGCAGGTGAAAAAAAATAGAAAAAAAAGTAGAAGCTGCCTGGTGAGAGCGTAAAATAAAATGCGGTGCCTGCCTAGGCAAGTTCTTCGAGGGACTTTCGACGCCAAATCGTGAATTTAGAAAATGAGGAAATTTAATATTTAAAGAAGGTCTATGAAATATAACTAGGGTGGGTCTCTAAAGGATTGGGTAATAATACTGGAGGGGAAAATAGAGGAAAAGGTGTTTTTAGTAAGTGTTCTCTTGGGTAAAAGATAAAAAAGTAAAATAAAATATTTATTAAAGTTATTAAAGTGAACAATATTAATTTAAATAGAAAGAAGAGGCCTCTACTGCAATAAAATATTTAATTTAAAAGTATACAACTTTTAACTATGTAAACAAAAAGTAAAAATTGAATTTTATAAATTTTTGAAAAGGGTAAAACTATAGTTTTCAAAACAAATACTTCATAAATAATACAAAATACGTTAAACCTTTACATTTAAAAAAAAAATAGGAGAAAATAAATTTCTAAACATAAATATAAGGAAGGAAACAAATTAATACCTATTACATGAAGGAAACACCATCATAAGCCCCTCAAAAGGAAGATTTCAATTATCACCTAGCTTTGAAAGCTGAAAAACAATCTCAGTTTATATTCGTTGGACGTGTGAAGAATATTGGGGAATAACTTGCACGACGGAGGACCACCATGCTCGAGTGCAGCAAGGACAGGTCAGGGATAATCTGCCGGGCAACAGCCATACCCAATTTCCCCAAACGAGCCATGAGAGAGGAATGCAGGCATACAGGAAGCTGAGGAATACAATACCGGCAAGCAGGGAGGTAAGTGCAAGGAGCAGGGAGCCAGAAGCAGGAGCAGGGAGTAAGCCAGGAGCACATTGTGGCCAAATCCCAGCTACAAGTGCAGTGTGGCGGCTGTGACAATTTCTGGCGGAGCCTGGGATCCCTCCCTGGGCTCCTCTGGAGACTCACCTAATGGTATTTTCTCGGTTAAAGATGACGCCTGTTGTTGCTGCTGCTGGGCGACACTGAATTCCGGGCAGAAAATGCTGGTGGCGCATATTAAATGTAAATATGCCAGGAATTTTAGCCTCGAATGCATTTTGCACTTGTAGTTTGTAGCAACAATTTCGCCAAATTCCGAGTTTTGAGCACAATGAAGTGTATTTGTTGGTTAAATTGGATTCGCCATTACGCGCAAAGAACTCACTTTATTACACTTTGTTTGCTTTCACAGGCTTTTGTTAATTTTATTTGAGTTTTTTCTACACGTTTTCTAAAAAGTTTTTTATCAATTTATTTTGTTTACTTTGACTTTGGTTATTTTTAAATATTTATTATACTTTTGTTAAATTTTTTATTTATTTATGAGAATTTTCAAGAGGTTTCACTAAGTTCTTTTCCGATTTCGATTATTCAGTTTCATAAGCAACTTTATTTTCTATTATATTTATAATTTGGCTATAGAAAAGTCCCTTTAAGTTTCATTTGGATTTTTGTTTATTTTGATTACACAAATGTTTAAACTTTTTTGATTAATTATTTATTAACTTGACTATTCCTTTGTTTTCCCGTTAAGACTCCACCGAAATCTCACTTTAATACGCACTCAAACTGGACTTTAACATCGGAGATTTTACTAGCTTTTCCTCTGCCGCTTCGCCTTGCTTTTCCCCAGGAAAAACTCTGCGCTTTTCATCCGCTCACTGGAACCAAACGGCCACGCGTTGTAATCAGCACTAAAATACGCCTAAGCTGGGCCAGTAATACGAGGTCCTGAGCCGATGCTCCGGAAAACGTGGAAAGCCAGGCCACAGGACCACAATGTAGCTTTGTGGCCCGTATTACTGGGAGAGGAAAAGCCGACAGCATCCCATGCTCTTTGTACTAAAAACCAGAGAGAGACAGAGATACCGAGAGTTTTCCCGCTCTCCGACTGCAAAGCAGGGAGAGTTTTCTCTTTCAGAGGGTGGAAATGAGAGCCGGATGCTGTAATGGTAACTGTAACTGACCTACTGCATTTTTTGGCCAACTTGCACGGCGGCGTCGTCGTCGTCGACGTCGTCTTCCTCGCTGGTTAAATGTTTGTTTACGTTATGCCTGCGTTTTTGGGCCTGCATAATTGATAACAACAGCTCGGCTTTCGCTTTGGGCCCTCGTGTTTTTAGTTTTGGTAATTACGAATTACGAAATACGAATTGTTTTTCGGGGAGGACAAAACAATCCTTTTAACAAATCTCATTACGTTGTCAATTACGCGCCATTACCAGGCGGGTGAAAGCAGCAGCCACCGACTCTGAAATCTCATTAACAGGCTTTAATTTTCAAAACAAACTTAAGTGAGCCAAAAGATAAAGGGCTGAAGGACTGAAGAAACTAAGGAAACTCTAGGCCACGCCCCATATTGTCGAGGTCTCGGCGGCATGCTATTTTATAATAATCTGTACTTAGTTTATAATGCGCACAGGAAGTGGAAAAGGACAATGGTTGCACTAAGAAAATATGTATGAAAAGCGGATTTAAATTTGTTATTACAAAGGAAATGCTAAGATCTGGTCAAGAGGAAATGGAAAGCTTAGTTGTTTAGATGTTTCTGACCTTGCCAAAGGGGTAATAAGAACCCAGTTGCTAAGAGAACTTTTTAAGTCAGTTAGAAATTCTAGAGAAAGGCAGGAATATGCTAATGGAATAGTTTGTATAATCATCTTTATTTATATTCAAGCAAAAACTGAATAATAATTGATTGTAAATTTAAAAAAATTATAATAAATAATATAATGACCTCGGGTTTTAAGAACCTTACAAATTCTTATTAGATATAGGTCGCTGCTAACAAAAAAATATTTAAATAGATAAATAAAATAAATAATTATAATAAATATTTATATATATACCAATACATAGATATATATAACATATAATTTATCTAAAATATATCCCTATTATCTCCCCAATATTTTCCCCCAGTGCACCATCCACTTCCGACTTAACCTTTCAATATAAAACGGCAAAAACTGCGATTAGGGGGCCAAGTCAATAAACATAAAAGTTAATGGTAAAATTTTTTAATTAAGAAAATCAATGAATATTTTTTTCGCTATTTTTCCTTTTCCTTCGCTTGCATTATGGGTATTTTGCTGTTTAGCTTTTCATCCATTGCCTTGCCATTTCCTCTACTTCGGCGGATGGCACCATTTTAACATTTATGACTTGCGATTTTCACGACTCTCGGGGATAATGGAAGGAAACGAGGAAAAATCATCTCTAGAGCGATTTCCTTTCTTTTTATATATTTAATAAGCTGGCAAACAAACTTGCTTTGATGCAATTATTAAATGCAAACGTCTATAAATTTTAATTGGCTTTTATTTAGCGATTTTTTCAGTTTTTCCCTTTTTGGTGTTTAATTATGAATTACAATTTATGCGGCCGCCTAAGTCAACAGAGTTAAAGCGTTTAATTAAATTCGGTGAAAAAGGGAAATGGCACAAAAAAAAATGCAAATACCGAGGACTAGGGCCTGTGACTGCTTAAAGCCGCAACAAAATCAAAGCCGCAAGTACAAAGATAAATAAGTGGCATTGTCGGTTTCATTTCCGGCTGCAACATTTGCATTCAAATCGCTGTGTCTGTGTGGTATTGGTATTGGTGTGCACAGGAATGTGCACTTAAAAAATTAAATATAACTAAAATAAGCACACAATTAAATATAAAATATAAATAAATATAAATATAAAATAATAATAAAGCCTAACTTTTATTATTTGTGAAGAAATAAATTAGTAAAGAAATATAATATTATTTTTCTTCCTATATTTCATTATTTCTTAAACAAATAAATTAGGAAAATAATTTAATATAAAAAAAAAACGGCCTAAAAAATTTCTAAGAACTTTATTAGAATTTCAATTCTTAAGAACACCCCGTAAAAATGCAATAAAAAAGCATCCGAAACTGCTTAAAAATCATTAGAAAGAGAATCAAAAATGATTAAAATATTTAAGTGACTTTAAATCGCCTAAAAATTAGTCGTAAAATAGAAATTCTTTACTTAAATTTAAAAAAAATAGTCAATCCCGTCTCAAAAATTGTTCTAAAAATGATTTAAAACCCTTTTTAAACATTTTTCTTCTTGCCCAAATATTTTTCCCAGTGTAATTGTCGGTGTCGTTGTAAGCGCTATATAAGTAGACTCCCAACTGGTTTTATATTTAGGCGTTTGCCTCCGTTAAAAGCACAGAAAGAAAGCAATAAAAAGCAGCACGCCGCGAATGCGAACGAACTGATGCTTTTGGCGGCGTGGAGAAGGAGGAGGAGGTAGCTTCTGGGTGGCCTTGGGGTGGGTAGGATAGCTAAGGTTAAGGGAAAGCACCAGGGTGGGGGTAGCAGCTGTCCCACTCCCCCCGTAATTTGTATTGGCTGCCGCGAGAGTTGGCCTCGCCTGTCTTTCAGTTTCTCACTTCATCAGTTACGCCAAAAAGGAGACTCTACAATAAATTTCGCTGATTGCTTCCGTTCGTTTTTTTTACTGCCCCTTCGCATCTACGCGGACTCATTTTTTATGCCGCTTGATAAAGTAATATCCGTTTTAGGTTCACTCGGTTGTAGGTCCTGCCTGTTAGGTAGGACTTTACAATACCCTCAGGGAACCGAGAGGAAACAGTCTGTAAGTCAGTCAGTCAGTCAGTCTGCCAGTAGAGGATATTTGGAGCAGAGATTTTTGAATGAAATGACTAATAGTTAAGGCACTTTAAGATGCCTAGAATTTAAATTTATTTAAAGTTATTTTATGGCTAGTTAATAAATAATAGCTAAAGTGGCAAAAACAAAAGTACTTTCACACAATATTGATTGTGTATTTGTGAATAAATATTTAATGAATACAAAAGAATTAAAATCAAAGAGCCTTGACTTAAAGTATTGAAGCAATTAATAAACATGCTGAATTACAGAAAATGTTGAAATATTCTTTAATTTAATGTTACTGAAATCTCTATATAACTAACCAGCTAATTAACCCATTAAAAAGACCCCCAGCCAGCCTATAACCTCTACTCCCACTCCCCATTAAGGGGTATTTAACTACAAGGTATACAACAAAATGTCAGTTGCTGCAAGTAATGTGCCAACTTTTGGCTATAATTTGGTGGACCAACTGGCTTCCACAGAAGCTCCCCCCCTCAACCCCTTGCTGCCCTCCAAAATTGCAGCACTTTTTGGGGGTCTAACACAGATTTGTGGCCTTGGCTGCTGCGGGAGTTTTTTTGGCTAGAGTTCGGTGGCCCATGGGGCGTATGCGTCATATAAGAGTACGCATACGCAGTGTAGGTCAATGCTGTGAGCCAGAGTGTGTATGTTTGTGTGTATGTGTGTGTGGCTGGTGTAGGTGTAATTGAAACTTCCGCTTTGGTCAGTTAGCGCAATTTAGCAAGCTGCAAAAAAGTTAGGCACGGCTGAAGTAACAGGCAAAGTGTAAAGTCCATTTCAGCTACTTGGCTTTCATTTCAATTTAAACTTTGCCAAAAAAAAAAACCCCACACATTCACATTCATGGTTCCACGTCCTCGTATAAAGTTGAGAGAGAGGATGGAAATTATTTAAAATGATTTATTTCACAACAATTTTCATTAGGTGGCCGTCGGAGACTGCAATGCAGGTTCCAGCTTCAGCTCATGCTCCTCTGCTCTGCTCTCTGCACTAATTCACTTTTGCTGATTTTTGTGGTAAAAAAAAATAGGCGAAAAATGCCTTGAGAGCTTTGGTGGAGTGGTAACGCTCACTCATGTTTCATATATGAAATAATTATATGTGCGGTCAGCACAGAGGCTGCCAAAAGGCCGCCGACTGGCTGCGGGCAGTGCAGCAGTCCTTTCTTATTTTTTTATGTTTTCACTAGTTATTTTTTACACTATAAAGAAAAAATAGAGTTTAAATTAACAAAGAACAAGGATATATTTAAAAAAATATATATTTAGGAGTAGGTCTTGCTCTTCTGGATTTTTTATGAATTTTTATAAGCAACATCTTATGATTTTCATTTAATTTTATTACAAAGTTTACTTCTTTATTATAAGTTTAGTTCTTTATTATAAGGTAAGTATTATATTTAGTACTACTTACTGCCTTGTACTTTTATTTTTTAAAATTATTCTTATAAAAATTAATAAGCTTTCCTTTAATTTAACGAATTATTAAAGGCAATTTCTGAATTTCATTTAAACAAGAATCAAGTTTAATTTAAGCAGCTATATTAATTTATT